CTTCTGGACCCTGAACTCTGGATCTGAAAAACCCCGTTCCAAGACCCCCTGCTGGTGTGGGGTGCCCTAGCAATGACAGAGATCATAAATAGTTTGTAGTCTTCGTCCTGGGGGAAAAATGTGCTATGAACAAACAGTGATTGTACGGAAGACGCTCTGTTGGAAAAAGGGATGCAGTCTATTTCTGAGGGGTTCTTAGAATCTGTTCACGTCTATACCAGCGTACAGCTAACGCTGCCACAAAGAACAAGGAGTGATCTGTGTTCCGGCGTCAGGTTATGATGAGAGGTCCTTACTGTCCTGCTGCCAATAACGTCTGCCCTGAGGGAGTTTGGGAAGGGGCCACAAACACAAGGTCCCTGTCAATCACATTTCCTGTTTATGCTTGGCCTGGGGGTTGGGGAGATCACAGCATTGTTTTAAGGAAGGTTCTAGGCCAGTTCACTGGCCTCCCAGTCCAGCAGCAAGCCTGAGTTACCGTCAGTGTCAGGTTAACTGTGTTTAGAACCACCTAGGACACACCTCCGGGTGAGTTTGTAAGGACAGCTCCTGAGAGGAAGACCCACCCGGTGTGTGGGAAGTGATCCCACGGCTTGGGGTCTTGGACGGTTTGAAATGGGAAGGAAAGCAAGGAGCTGGCTGCACGCCCACACGACTCTTTCTGCTTCCTGACTGTGGACACAATGTCACCTCAGGTTCATACTGACTGCCCCCTGCCCCGCCCGATAATGAGCCATATGTCCTCTTACACTATGAGTCAAAGCAGATCCTTCTGGAAGTGACTTTTGTCCAGTATTTTGTCACAGCAGCGGAAACTGCACACACCAGTGACATTTCCAGCACGCGCTAGCGTCTCTTCCAACCTCTGCTTGACTCTCAACTCATTTGCTGTGCCCCAGCCATGGCCACGCCCTCACGGCGAGCTTTGTGAAGATGACTACTCCATCAGAGAGGCCTTTCCTGGCCCCCTCAACTTAAAGGACCCCCATGACTTCCTACCAGACAGCCCCATTTTACTGCATAGCATTTATCACTTGTGTTCTCTTGTTCTTTTGTTTAGTTCATCCTGTGCACACACGTGTGTATGGCAGAGGGGCTACATGCTGTCCCCCTGGGACAGACAGCCTGCAAAGCAATACACCAGGAGTAGAAGAGTGTTCACCTCAGTTGGGGGGGGGGTGCTCTCAACCTACCCCTTCTTTGTCTGCTGTTTCTCCCAAGCTGGAGAACCGTACCCCCAATGCTGGTGAGCTGGGCAAAGAGTTCAGACCTATTTGTTGAGTGACTAAGTGTGTAAGTGAGAAGAGGCAGATGGGCCAGGAGCTCTGTGCCCACCATGGCCTCAGCCTCTCGGTAGATTGGGTCCATTTGCCAAATGGGCACAGGAAGATGCAAAAAGGGAGTTCCATCTAAGGTCACAGACCTGCCATCAGACATAGATGGATTCCAGACCCCTCATCAATCAGCAAACAAAGGTCCACTGCCTGGCAGACACCAGGCACAGAGCAAGGAAGATAAAGCCTGTAGCTTCATTAGTCATGGGGTCCAACAGTAAGAAAACACACAGAGACATGCAGAAGGCTATGTCCACAGATGATAAGGGCCCAGGAGTCTGAGAGGAAGACCCCAGAGCCCTCCCCTTCTCCAGTCTCAAAGCTCAAAGTCAGGGTTGAGCCCAGAGCTCCCCTGCAGCAGTCTAGGCCCCAGAACAACCTAAGGCAGACTTGGCAAAGGCATTTGGGATGGGGACTCTTGGACTCAAGAACCCAGTTAAGCGCACCCCCCGCCACCCAGCGGTGGTGGTGCACACCTTTAATCCCAGCACTTGAGAGGCAGATGTCTGTGAGTTCAAGGCCAGTCAGTTCTACAAAGTGAGTTCTAGGACAGCCAGGGATGTTACACAGAGAAACCCTGTCTCAAAAAAAAAAAAAAAACAAGCAAAAAGCTTAGAAGCAAAGAGGTCTGCTAGCTCGTTGATCCTTTTCAGTTGCCCCAAATGGGGGATGCAGACCCCATAGTTACTGTGAGTTATTTGTTTCTGTCTAGGACTGTCAGCTCATCTGTCTCCAGGACTCCCAGACTAGGGGTACCCTTTTTGCAGGGTACTTAGAGGAAAGCCCCCCCCTCTCCCTGCCCAGAGTGCGAGGGAGGTGTTCTGCAGCAAGTTCTGTTTTTGGAAAGATTCAGTCCAATGAGCTGGGGTAGACAGAGAAGAGGAACGAGTACTGTGTGTTCCTGTGACCTCAAGCCCTTTGCAGTGCCCCGAGGCAGAGACCTGCATTAGCAGGGCCCTTCCCAAAGCTGCCCAGCCCTCCAGCTCCCCTGCACCTTGTCAGCACCATGGCCCATGGTTACCCACAGCCTCCCTGGGCAGGATCGAGTTTCCCACGGATGGCACTCTTCCTCCCTCACCAACGCACCAGAGAGAGCTGAGCCCTTGTGAATAATTCACAGTGCTTCACAGCGGGCCTGGGAGGCTCAGGAGAGCATGGAGCCACAGCTTCAGAGCTAGGCTCTGGGGTCCTCTGATTGGACCCTGTGACCCCAGAGAATCCTGCTCTCGAGGCCAGAGGTTACATGGGCACACCAGCCCCTGGTCCCAATTTCTAGTCCCCCCCTCCTGCCTGAGCTCAGCCTGGCATCCATTCAAAGGTGACTTCTTATCACCCTGGACACAAACCATGGCAGGGATCGGAGGCCGGGCCCTCTGTCTAACTCCCTGAGATTCACGGTGAATCCTGGTGGTCTGTCAGCTCCTCAATGAGGTCATTTAGCACAGAGTCAGCGCCAGGTTCCGATCTTACTCAGCACCTGGCAGGGTCAGGGTCTCCAAGGGCTGGAACTCACAAGCATGCTGCATGGCAGAGCTGGAGTCTTCCTCCATGGGAATCTCAGGCTTGTCATTAGTGGGGCTTTTCTCTAAGGTGGGTTAAGGGGCTAGCAGTTCTCATTGGAACCTGCAGAGCAGGCTTGGAAGCCTGTCTGTTTATAGTGCTGCCAGCAGCCTGGACCTCTAGGTACACTGTGTCTGGAGGAGAGGCTGGTGAGAGCAAGCAAGCATCCGTGTTACGTACATAACCTGTCATCTTAGAACTTGGTGTCCTGTGCTCAGAGTGAGGGAGTGGGACACATCAGAACCACAGCCTTGGGGCTGAGGACATGCCACAGGTGTGGCCAGGCCCTAGTCTGAAGGGTCTAACAGGAGTCTGGGCCATCGCTTCCTAGGGCTGCTGATGGTGGCAGGTCAGACCCCACACTCCAAGGTCTCTGAGGCCACTGACTTAGATATGACCTCAGCCCTGCTTGCTGAGTCAAAGCCTTCACACCTCAGTGGCCACCAAATGGCCATGCAGAGAAGCCACCCCAGCAAAGTTCCTGCTGGCTCACCCACCCAGTGACAGACAGGGAAACCCTTGCCAGAAGCCAAACAGGCTCAGCCTGCCTGTCCAGAGCCAAGGAGACAACTGCTGCCTGGCCTTCTTGGTCTGAGAGCCATGTTGTGTCCACACCAGTGTCCGCCCTATGCCTTGTGGCCAGCCTGCTCCCTGGTGGAGAGTGGCCATGAGGCAACCTCAGAAATGGATCAGTGCTGGATCCAACCCTGTCACCTTGCAGATGTCTTCCTCCTGAGGCGGGGCACACATACTTAGACAGAAACTGATCAGAACCCTCACCCTCAGGTCCTGGTGACTGCTCACATCCTACACCTTTAGGAAGAATCCACGTCCATTTCCTGAGGCCCCTGTCCTCACCCCAGACTCTCATGTGTCACTCTGCTGTGCTGTGAGTCTTTTTCCCACATTCCCCCACTGTGTCCCAGGATCTCCCAGCCACTTAGACTGGGGTCCTGGGAAGGTTTAGAAGCCCCTCCACCAGTGACAGGAATGGGCTGAGAGGCTGCAGAACTGGAAAATTCTCTAGAGGTAGCCTGCTCATGGCTCTGGGGCTAGGAGGGATCATGGGACTAAAGGGCAGCTCTCCTCTTAGCTGCTTGATAGTTGATGTGACCCTTCCTCTCCCTGTCTAACTCAGGTCTAGGAGGTGCTCCTGACTCATCCATCACTCCATATAGAGCAGTCTTGGAAAGGAGAGTAGACCAGGGCTTGAGAAGGCCACCTACTGAAGCCAAGCAAGCACCCAGGAGGAGGGCAAGTGACCTTGGCCTGAATTCCCGGTGTACCAAATCCAACTCTAAGCTGCCAAGGAGCTAGGATGGGAAGCACCTGCTTGCCTCTGAAACAGAGGCTGTGGCCCCAGTGGGCTGTGTAGAAGGGAGAAGTTTCACTTTGGCTGGACCTGTTGTAGGCCTGGGCACCTGAACCCAGGACAGTCACTGAAGCAGTCACTGATGGCCATCTCCAGGTATTTCCCATAGCCTTGCCGCTGTGCCCAGAGACCTCCTTAAGCGAAAAGTCCTAGAGTCCCGTATGGTAGGTAGTACAGGCCTGTAATCCCAGCCCTTGGCTGGGTGGTCAGCAGAAAGACCAGGAATCCTTGGACTAGGCATGGCAGTCATTCAGGAGGCAGAGGCCAGTAGGCAGATCTCTGTGAATTTGAGGCTAGCCTGGTCTACATAGTACGTTCCAAGTCAACCAAAGACCCATCTCAATGGGCAGTGCTGGCACACACCTTTAATCCCAGCACTCAGGAGGCAAAGCCAAGTGGATCTCTGTGAGTTTGAGGCCAGCCTGGTGTACAGAGCAAGATCTAGGACAGGCACCAAAACTACACAGAGAAACCCTGTCTCGAAAAACCAATAAATAAATAAATAAATAAATAAATAAAAGAAAAGGAATAAAAAAAATATAGATCAGGAATCCAAGTCCCAAATTCTTTACTTAGCAAGTCTGAGGCCAGCCTGAGCTACATAAGAGCCTGTTTCAAAAATAAACAAAGAGGGAGGTCCTGACCTGGTCCGTGGTGGACTTCTTGCATGTGAAGGTCCCAGATTCAATTCCCAGCACAAAAACAAAACAATAATGCAAAAGGAAGGTTCTTACTCAGGGTAATGCCTGACCAGAAGCTTCATCGAGGGAAGGTCTCCTTTGGCGGCGGCGTAGTGAATAGGCAGGGCACCTGTGTCTGTGCCGATGGCAGGGTCCGCACCACCGTGATGCAGAAGCCAATCCACCACCTCTGGGTGGCCAAAGCGGGCAGCCAGATGCAGGACTGTGGCACCAGAATTATCTTTTTCCTGTGGGCAAGAGAGCTAGTTAAAACGCTGTAGTCTGAACCTGTCCTTGCCAGATGCTCAGTCCACTGCCAGCCTCCTCCAGGAGGGGGCGGGGGCGAAAGTCCATGTGCTTACCCTTCCTTGAGGGGATGGCTGTACCTAGTTTAGCACGCTTTGGAGGTGAAATAGATCCTAGGAATTTGAATCTGCTTCTATCCTTAGGCAACTCCTGGCTGGCTTTGACCCTCGGGTCATAGGCAGCAACACCATGTAGGACTCTTGGAGGCCTTCAGGGCATGATGGAGAGTTGCCAGTACACAAGAGACTCCCAAAACATGGCACCCTATGTCATAGCAGGAGTTATGCACGGCTCTGACACCTGGGAAACACGTGAGCGAATGACTACATTGCTGGACTGAGTGAGACAGGGAGGGACGGTAGCTGAGTCTCTCCCAGGCTGGCATGAGGATTCCCCCTGCCTCCAACCCTTGTTCCTCCTCTTCCTCATTCCCAAGTGTCCCTTGGGAGGTACAGAGCCTTCCATTTTGGTACACCTCCAACAACCCAACCCCCACACAAGAAGCTGCCTTCCTGTGGACTCCCCTGCACACAGCTTCAAGAACAAGCTGTGTCCTTGCCTGTGGAGGAGGAGGTTACTGGGCACTGGTGGGCAGGGCCTGGGACAGCCAGTCAATAGTGTAGGTGTGTACTCGTGGCAGGCTCTTGGAGAGGCTAGGTTTTTAGGTAAAACCCCTGCAGACACCCTCTGGGCCCAGAACTGCTCCTCACATATACCTTTTATGTTTCTCTTTGGAGGAGGGGCTGAGGGGTTGTTCATGGGGAAGGAGAGACCCACTGAGACTCCAGATGTCCCGACTGAGGCTGCTGCATTTGAGAGTAGGTGCTGTTCTGGAAGTTGACAACATGTCAACATCAAGCACACAGACACCAGAGAAAGGGCGGAGCAGCTGTGAGAGGTAACTGGGAAGTGAGCTCTCTCCTCTCCTGCAGGGAGAGGGTACCACAGAGACACATGTGGCCAAGACACAGAGACCCTGAGGTAGGTGAATCTCAGGAGGAAGATCTCAGAGCCTCCTGAAAGAAGAAAAGGATACAAGAGTCCGGCATGTCATCAGTCAGGCTATGGAGGTGGGGAGGATCATGGGACAGAAAGCAAATGGCCCATAAGGGACTAAGGACTAAGGGATACCAGAGTTCCCTACTGCATATTGTAGGTGTGTACAGGCTTGTTTAGTCTGTCCCCCTGAGGTCAGGCATGGGCTGCCTAGAGGTGGCCTAAGTAGGACCACCATGACGAAAGTCTGGAACCTCAGCTCTTGAGAAAGGCCTTCCCTCACCACTGGTCTTGGGGATATGGGCCTGAGGCTCTAGGACATCTTCATAGCTCAGGGCTTCTGGATAATGATGGCAATATGAAGTCAATGGCTTGTGTTCAAGGTACCACCAGCTGGGTAGACCCTGGGAGCCTTGTGTGCTGGGGCCACATCCTAAGTTGTTTATCTCTGGGCCGGACAGGACCAGAGATCGAGGTCATTCCCCCACTTCTGCCCCCAGCTTCCTGGGGGTATAAGACAAGAGATGTGATAAGCTGGCACAGGTTGCTTGTTCCTTCCACCTCCTCTGAGTGATAAGGGAGGCTTCCGGCCAGTGCTGGACATGGAATCAGGGAGGCAGGCACCTCCCGAGAGAGGGAGGCATGGACCATGTGGCTGTGGGCCACATGGCCAGGAACTCCTGATAACAAGGCCAGGAGATAAGAGAAGGAAAGAATCTCCCAGAAAGATGGGAAGGTGGGGCTTGCCCTCAGAGGACAGGAGGTGGGAGCTGTATGAATTTTGCTAGGCCCCTGCAGACCAGATTGGAGTTGGCTCTTACCAACTCCATCATCACCCTTTGATGCTCAGTTAACTCAGTGGTCTGTGGGGTTTTTGTTGTTTGGTTGACTGGTTTTGGTTTTTGAGACAGGGTCTCATTCTGCAGCCCAGGCTGACTTCAACTCACAGCAATCCCCCTGCCTCAGTTTCCCAAGTGGCATGATTACAGATGTGGGCCACTCAGTGGTCTCTCTCAGCTGTAGATCAGATGCGCTCCCACCTCCGTTGGCTGCTCAGGTAACCAGAATATCATCCCGATTCCTTCCCTCAGCCTAGGAGACCCTATAGGCCCGGCCTGGCGGCCTGCAATCCCCGCCCCTCTCCATCACTCTGCTTTCCGTAGCCTACCTCCAGCACAAGAATGTGGACACCTCGGGGCATTTCACTTCTTGTTCTCTGTACTGAGGACTCTCTGATCCACTCACCCCGGGGAAAGATTCACCGGGGCTGAGGAGTGACTTAGAGTTGGAAGGCCCAAAGTTGCCGATGTCCTTGGAGACCTCCCCACCACAGGTCCCCTACCTTTGTCCCTGACTTAGTGGTATCTGCATCTTGGCCCGGGGTGAGTTGTGAGACCTTGTGCACTCTCCCTCCAGACCTGAGCCTGGAGGACACCGGCTTCTAATTTGACAGCCAAGGCTCATTCCTAAGCCCCCACCCCCACTCCTGCCTTCCTCCAAGCCTGCGCCGCTCACTCAAGGATCTGTGCTCTGTTCGCCCTCGGAGATACCAGCCCCAACTGAGTCCGGGATCTACCCAAGTCCTCAATCTCAGGAACCCACCTTATCTAAAGGCGTCTGGAAGGAGAGGCCTGCAGGACTCAGCCTAGCCAAGACCAAGCCACAGGAGGACTGGCGTCCTCTTCGGGCCCAAACCCTCTCTTGGGGTGGACTCACCTGCACTCTGCAGCCGCCCTGTGTGAGCAGCCACTTCAGGCAGGAGAGGTAGCCTGTGGCGGCGGCGTCGTGGGCTGGGGTGGCGCCGTTGTGCGCGCGGGCCACGGCCGGGAGGCCAGCCTCCTCCACCAGGTAGCGGAGACAGTGAAGTTTGCCAGATCGGGCCGCATGGTGCACTGGCAGGGCGTCTAGCGGGTCGCGCAGAGAAGGCCCCAGCAGCCCGGCGGCATGCAGGTCCTTCAGCACGTCCAGGTCGCCCTGCCGTGCAGCTTGCAGCGCCTGCTCCAGAGCCATGGTGCCGCCCTCGGCGACCCGGCGCTCAGTGGGTTCCTCGGGGCCTCATGCAGGTGGCTTCAGGCTTCAGGGGTAGCCCTGCGGCCCAGCCGTTGGAAGAGTGTGAACCCCGGAGGCAGAGCGGCTGCCCACCGGCTCCGGCTCTGCGATTCCTGGGACTCAACTCCGTCTCTGCAGCGCTCTGGGGCGGGGACCCCGAGAGTGCCCCGCTTAAGCCTGGGACCCGCCCCCGCCACGCCTCCTCTCTGCCCCGCCTCCCCGGCTCTGAGCCGTCCCCCAGCCCCGGCCGGTGACAAGGCTTGGTGCGCACAGAAGTTCCTCTTCTGATTTGCTGCACATAGAAATTGAGTAGGATTCTAGTGCCACCCAGACACTGACCCGTTGACTCGAGGTGCCCAGTGACCACTATGTGTTGTTTCGGGTGCTGGGGACACAAGCCAGCAACTGATGGCAGTTACAAGGAGCTACAAATGTCACTAGAACCTGGCAAGTGGGAGAAAGGAAATAGTTTGTCATGGGCATCAAGAAGGTGCCTGGTGCTGGATCTGGTTGGTAAGAAGGGATGTTCAAAGCCAGGGAACTGGACGCCACTGCCCAGAAACTTAAAAAGTCCCACCAAATGCAAAATGCCGAGTACCCAGTGCTCAGGATGCCGAGGTCCCTCTTGAGTTTAGACCCAAGAACAAGAAGGGAGACAGGAGAAGGCAGAAAGGGAAAGAAAGGAGGGAGCCAGCAAAATGAACGGGTAAAGGGGCTTGCTGCCAAAGCTGACAACCCAAGTTCGATCCTAGGGACCCACATGGTGGAAGGACAGAACCATCTCCCACAAGCTGTCATTTGACCCCACATGCACACTGTAGCAATGACCCCCAAATAAATAAATACAATGATTGAAAAAACAAAACAACCACAAACCCGTAGGATCTATTTCTTAAGTGAAAGGAAAGAAGGACAAGTGTCGAAGCCAGGCCAGGTGTGAGTTCGAGGCCAGCCTGGTTTACAGAGCGAGATCCAGAAAAGGCTCCAAAGCTACACAGAGAAACCTGTCTCGAAAAACCAAAAGGAAAGAGAGAGAGAGAGAGAGCGAGAGAGAGAGAGCGCGTGGAGGTGTTTTAGAACAGGATGCTGACGATTCTGATTACCCAGACTGGCTGGGTGGGGGATGGGAGAGTGCCATGGACTTGAAGGCCTGGGGCTACCAAACCAAGAGACCAGAAGTGAAGGATGTAAGGGCTGGTGGGTAGATAGATGCTCCAGTGCCTTTGTCCAAAGAGACGGTATCACCACGTGAACAAGGACATTGGGAAGTGCTTGAGGGTCCAGGCAGGTCCAGTGCTTGAGGGTCCAGGCACAAACCACCCTACGGGCCATGGCTGGAAACAGGTCACAGGAACTGGAGGAGGCAAGGTCTGCGGGACCGGAGCAAAGGCTCCAGGAGGGGATATGCAGGCTGTGGGAGCGCAGCTAGCCTATCGGGCAACCTTGAAACAGCTTGCGTTCTTCCTCTTCTCCCCCACGCAAGCGGAGGTCTGTCGGAACCCAGCCCCATTCCCGGCCGATGTTTCAATCCGTGCCGAACTCCTACCAGCCAGGGAGGTGCTGGAAATGTAGAAGTTGTTTCCAGAACGCGGAATCCTGGAGTTAATCTCCTGGGCAGTCTCAGATACCGTTTCCGTTTTCACCACACGGTGGCGCCATGCACAGTGCGCTCAAATTTCGGGGCGCGCTCAAGTGAGTTTCCAACCACTTCTGCCCACATCCGCCTAGCTGGTGAGGCCTCATTCCACCATAGGACCTGCTGTTACTTTCCAGATTCCTTACTGTGTCATAGCTATGCCTGAAGCTATATCCAGACAGGCAGGGGCCCCCAAAGGGCAGGAGTATCCAGACAGGCAGGGCCCCCCAAAGTGGCAGGAGTATCCAAACTAAGATGGCTGGACTCGGCTTTCACTCCCCTGTGCCTCCTTCGTGACTCCTTCGTGACAAAGCTCCTGCAGTCCTTCCACCCTGTGAGGTCGCTGCCTTGACCCTAGACACCATTGCTTCTGAGTCATTCCCAAACTCAGCTGTGTGACACGCACACAAAGCCACGTGTTAATACACACCCTTGCTAACCAACACTCAGACTGGGAGCCAGGGCTTTTCAGCTGTGCCTGTCTGTCTGTCTGTCTGTCCTATCTGGGCTCTTCCACTCCACTGAATCCTCTCCAGCAGTTTTTGTTTGTTTCTTTTTTTAGATTTATCTATTTATTCATTATGTATACAGTGTTCTGCCTGTATGTACTCCTGCAGGCCAGAAGAGGGCACCAGATCTCATTATAGATGGTTGCTGGGAACTGAACTCAGGACCTCTGGAAGGACAGCCAGTGCTCTTAATCTCTGAGCCATCTCTCCAGCCCTTCCCCACCAGTTTTAAAGAGCCCCATCAGTGATGTCCCAGGTATAGATCCCTTACCACTAACCAAGCATGGTGTGATGCTCTTCATTAAAATTGTTAATTTTTTTTTGTTTTTCAAGACAGGGTTTCTCTGTGTAGTTTTGGTGCCTGTCCTGGATCTTGCACTGTAGACCAGGCTGGCCTCGAACTCACAGAGATCTGCCTGGCTCTGCCTTCCGAGTACTGGGATTAAAGGTGTGAACCTCCACCGCCCAGCTTAAAATTGTTGATCCTTACAGGAGGTTTTTTTTTTTTGTTGTTGTTGTTGTTTTGTTTTGTTTCGGTGGCTGGTTTTGAACTTGCTGTTCCTCCCAGGCTGGCCTTGAACTCCTGAATCTCATTTCTTCTTTATGATGCTAGGATTACAGGTATGAGCCACCACAAGTGGTTCAGAAAGGGATTCAACTCTCATTTTATAGATGTGGAAACAGAGGCATGAGGAGTCTGTATTTATTCGTGTGTGTGTGTGTGTGTGTGTGTGTGTGTGTGTGTGTGTGTGTGTGTGTGTTGGTCCCAATGTGTGTGGAATGTATGTGGGGTCAAAGGACAACCTGCAGGAAGTGGTCCTTTCCTCTCACCAGGTACATCCTGGGAGCTTACTCAGGTCATCATGATAGCGGCTGGTGCCCTTACCCATTGAGGCATTTCACAGTCTTTGTTTTTTAAAGCCTGGGGTGACACAGATGGGAAGCAGCAACTCAGACTGTCCAGCTGTGCTTTCTCTCTCTGCATCTCAGGATGGATTCCCTCTCCCCACAGTTCCCTTCTGGCTGCCTTAGGGGCTCCATCCTCTGAAGGCCTCTTCTCATCCCTCTGCTGGGTGAAAACCAACCCTCAGGCTTCTCTCCCAGCCAAAGACTAGCACATGTCTCAATACCCCACACAGGACAGGGAGAGAGTGTGTCTCCATGGCACTGTAGGTTGTCCCAGAGAACCTGAGCATCACTCTCTGAACACCCCAAGTTCTGCTTTTAAAGGACTCCATCTTCCAAATCTTTTTCTTCTCAGAGTCTTTTGGTTGAAGGGAGGGGTGCATCACCTGGTTAAACTCCTTTACAGTGGGGGTGGGGGAGAGACACCCACTGTAAAGTTGAGGTAAGCGGCATAGCAAAGGGGATTTGCTTCTCTGTCGTCGGGTCTTCAAATAGTGGTCTCCAGCCCTGGAAAGGGATGTTCCCACCCTTCACCCTAGGGGCGAGTGTCAGTCTGTCTCCAGGAATTTGGTCAGTGTAGGGTGAGCTTGGGGACACTGAACCGAATGAACCAGCAGGGGAAGGGACTCCACACTGTCCTTTTTATCTTTTTCATTTTTTATATTTTGTTTTTTTGAGGTTTATCTTATTTATTATGTATACAGTGTTCTGTCTGTCTGTATGCCTGCTTGCCAGAAGAGGGCATCAGATCTCCTTATGGTTGTGAACCACCATGTGGTTGCTGGGAATTGAACTCAGGACCTCTGGAAGAGCTGCTAGTGCTCTTAACCACTGAGCCATCTCTCCAGCCATATATATGAGACACGTGTTTCCCTGGCTGTGGTTGATCTGGAACTCACTGTGTAGACCAGGCTGGCCTCAGACTCAGAGATCTGCCTACCTCTGCCTTCAAGTGCTGGGATTAAAGGCATGCGCCACCACTGCCCTGCCACAAAGTCCTTTTTTAAAAAGAGTTTTTAACTTTTTTTTTTCAACTCTGTGTGTGTGTGTGTGTGTATGTGTCCATGTGTAGGTTTGTGCATATGACTGCTATGCCTGAGAAGTCCAGAAGAGGGCATTGGATGCCCTCAGAACTGGAGTTACAGATAGTAGTGAACCATCTGTCATGGGTGCTGGGAACCAAACTTGGGTCCTCTGCGAGAGCAGGCTTACTCTTAACCACTGAGCCCTACAAAGTCCTAAAGTCCCTTTTAAGCGCTCTCTCTCTCTCTCTCTCTCTCTCTCTCTCTCTCTTGTTTTTGAGACAGAGTTTCTCTGTGTAGCCTTGGCTGTCCTGGAACTCGCTCTGTATACCAGGCTGTTTTTGAACTCACAGAGATCCGCCTGCCACCACCACCCGGCCGGTTTTAAGCTCTTAAAGAATAATTAATGACTGAATGTGGTGGTACACGTCTCTAGTCCCAGTACTCGGAAGGCAGAAGCAGGCTGATCTTTGTGAGTTCAAAGCCAGTCCGGTCTACATAGTGAGGGGCTAGCTCATAGACATGCTAGACTAGCCTGTGGGAGAGAACCAGAGAATCAGACATCCCAAGGCCTGCTAGGACAAATCCTCATAATTAGGACTGTTGGGTTGATGGACGTGAAGAAATAATGGTCTGAGCTTGCACAAAGTAACCCCTTGGTGGTGGTCGTGGATCCTTGTATTCCATAGATAGAAGAGGGAGGGCTGAGCTTTCCTGTCCAGGCTGCCCTGGGTCCCCTTCCTGGTGCACTATAGTTTACGAATGCCTGCTGTGGGAGCGCTTCCAGGGACTTGGGGCTAGCGAAAGGAATGGGGCTCAAAGGCAGGAAGGAGGGGTCTTTCCAGTACCCTGGACAGAGCCTACCCAGGCTCCGCCCCACGAGCGCCTCCTACTGGCTCTCGTTGTGCGGGCCTCGCTTTCCGTGCCTGAGACTTCCCCAAAGCTGCAACAGGGTCGGAGGAGCCGGCCGTTGCCCCGCCAGCCGACCCAGGGAGGGGAGCCCGCAGCAGATGGGCGGGGGACGCCTGCCAGTTTGCGCAGCAACGGCCACGCGTTGTGGAGGCGTGTCTGGGCCCGCTGGGACACACACCCCGGACCGCCCCCCTCGCCTGTCATGTGACCTCCGCTGTCCCACAGGTGGAATCCGGAGCCCAGAGCCGGTTGAATTGAAAATGAACTCCGAAGATCCTGGGTTGCCTCTTCTTGGGGAGTGGAGCTCAGGTTTCCTTTTCACAACCTAGGGCCAGGGAACCAGGTGATTTTTGAGTCAGTGGGGTGCCCTAAATCCTATGGAGTGTTAAGCGATAGGTGTCCAGTGACGTCAGTCCTGGTTCTGGCAGCCAGGCCAGAGAAAGAGTGGATCTTGCTAGGACTGGTTTGCACGTCCAGCTCGGAGCCGTTGGTGGAGCGAATCTCTCCTTTTAAACCTTGTTGGACCTCCCTGAGGTTCGGGCTCCGTAGCTCTGCTAGAGCCCTTGCGGCCCAGGGAGGGGCGCGTAGCCCAGTGGGCGTGAATGAAGCCACAGAGTGCTGGAGAGGAGTCAAGGCCTGGCCCCACCCACCCTTCCTGTGCGGGGGTCAGCGCCCACACGTCGCGCGACCCCACCACAGATGGGACTCTAAGGCCAGAATGGCATCTCTGGGGGACAACACTGGCTCGTCCTCTCCAGCCCCACCCTGTGCAGGGACGGAGGCGGGAGGTGGGAGTGGCGGCTGGCGGGACTCCGGGGGGCGGGGCGGAGCAGGGACACAGCCTCCTTAAAGCCCTGCCGCTGGCTGGGCGCGCACTTCTTTGGCGCGAGCTTGGGCTAGGCTTTGAACTTGGTTCCTGGCTTCGTTCTTTGCTCTGCCTTGCTACAGGGGCAAGGATCCTCCACCCCGCGGTACCGAACCCTGTGAGCTCTTCGCTTTCCCTCGGAGCATGAGACTGCCTGGAAGAGTAGGGGACGCGGCGGAGCTGCGCAAGGTAGGAGCGGGGAATAGGGACTCGTGGCGTGTCGGGGTGGGCGATCGCGACCCTCCTAACTGCGGCCTCTGCGCCCATTCTCTTTCCGACAGAGCTTGAAGCCGCTGCTGGAGAAGCGCCGGCGCGCACGGATCAACCAGAGCCTGAGCCAGCTTAAGGGGCTGGTATTGCCGTTGCTGGGTGCGGAGGTGTGTGTCTGGGAGCTCGGAAAACCGAGGTGGAGAGTCCTGGGGCACCCAGTGAGGCGGGTGGGCCAGCATGGTTCCGGGGCTCCGTGGGGATCCGAAGACCTCCTGGTGGGATCTGAGAGGTGGAGTGGACCGCGCGACTGGCGAGCACCTGGGTGCAAGAGCGAAGTGCCCTGCTGCCCGGTTTGTTATGGGGTGTCTCTCTTGTCTGGTCTGGCGCAGACTTCCCGCTATTCGAAGCTGGAGAAGGCGGACATCCTGGAAATGACCGTGCGCTTCCTGCAGGAGCAGCCTGCATCCCCTTACTCCACTGCAGTGCCGGGTGAGTGACCAAGCTCCCCGCTCCTCGTGTGCCTGGCAGTTTGCACGGTGCTCAGCACCTGAGCCTCACGTTCCTCTCTGTCCACAGGGCCCTTGGATAGCTACCTTGAGGGTTACCGAGCCTGTCTGGCGCGCCTGGCCCGCGTGCTGCCCGCCTGCAGCATCCTGGAGCCGGCCGTGAGCGCGCGCCTGCTGGAGCACCTGCAGCAGAGGACTGTCAGTGGTGGCCCGCCCTCACAGACGCCAACACCCGCCCCTGCTCCAGCTCCCTCTCCGCAGGTGCCTCCTCCCGGCAGCCCTGGCCTATGGCGGCCCTGGTAGAGTCCTGGATGTTTCAGGTCAGGGGCCTGGATGGGCTAGCTGACCAAGTAAGTTCACGGTGGTGACAGCATCTCCTTCACTTTGAGAACAGTCTAGCATCAGCACCCCAGCAAGAATCTGATGCTTGTGACCTATCTGCGTAATGAAGACCTCAAGGGCTCGGCTGGAGGGAAAAGAGAGTTTCTGGGCAGGGAGAGAAAGAACAAATAAATGTCTGCAGGGTGAGGAAGAAGCCCAGGCTTGGACTCAATGGTTCTGGCACTGGGCCAGGCAAAGCTGCCTCATCAGGGACACACCTGCCCTAGTGTGGGCAGTAGACCAAGCTCTGGCCTTAGAGTTCACCGGGCCACCTGCTCTGATGGGTCGCTGCGTTCCCAGCCACACCTGGATATACTTCCAGCTCAGCTGGGCTTGTGAACCTCCCCATAAACAGAACAATGACCTGCAAAGCACTGAGCAGGGAAAAGGGACACCTAGGGCTTGGCAGTCACCTCCTCCATCCTAGGCTTCCCCTCCCAGTGATCTCTTCTGCAGGTGGTGAGGACTTCCTAATTTAACGCCCCGCAGCATTATTTTTCCCACACAGCAGGCCCGTGGTCTTCAGAAGTGAGGAAAGGGTGAGACAAGTGTGAGGCTTCCCTGTGGCTTTAAGGAAGCTGGTGGCTTTGGAGGAATGGAAGCCAGCACAGACTGCAGAGCTAAAGCCTCGGAATGGCAGGGACCCAGGAGGTAGCAGCAGGTGAAGGAACATGAACCACCTCGACTGCTTTGTTTGTTAGTTAAATCACTCCCTGAACCCAGGCAGTTTGCCTACTAGAAGCAACCTGTTCGAAAGTTATTTCTCCCAAATGGAAGCGGGAAGCCCATGAAGACTCAGGGAAGAGGCTTCAGATCCCAGGAGTGGGTGCTCCAGAGAAAGTAGGAGAATTTGAACCATGGTCATTCCAAGTCCATGGGGATTTGCTGAGCACTGCAGCGAGCCTGCTTCTCCCTCTGCCTGTGCTGGGGACAAGGACACTAAAGCCAAGAAGACGGACTGACCAGGGAAGGGGCAGTCACTGATCTGCCTTGAGCATCTGTGGTAAATCTGGGCACTGATTTGGGTGGCAGGAGGTCGGGAAGTCGGAGGCATTCTTCAAAAAGAAAGAAAATCAACGTGAAGACGGCAGGGGCTCCCAGCAAGGCGGTGCTGGACCTGCCTGCCTAGACTGTAATTCTGAGAAGCAGGCTGGACAGAGTACACCTGTGTGTCTGTGAGGCCCTGGGCACACAATGGTGCTCAATAAACATGATGGATTAAAGGGTTTGATGTGACCGACTCACACTGTGATAAACTTTGGACAGCTGGCTTTTGCTCTGACCACCACTCCATGTTCCTATCACAGTGGTTCTCAATCTTCCTAATGCTGTGACCTTTAATACAGTTCCCCATGTGTGGTGACCCCCAACCCTAAAATTATTTTCCTTCCTACTTCATAACTGTAATTTGGCTACTGTTATGAACTGTAATATAGATATCTGTGTTTTCTGATGGTCTTAGGTAACCCCTGTGAAAGGGTCATTTGACCCCCAAAGGGGTTGTGACCACAGGTTGAGAACTGCTGTCCTAGGTTCACCAGATGTTTGTCCCACCAGGGCTCGTGTGCAGTCTGTTTTCTCGTTCTTAGTGTAGCCCGTAGAGGCAGAGGAAAAGGCAACCCTGGCCTGAGCTCATCAGATAGGCTCTGGGCTTCTCCTTGGATCTAAAGGGACAAGGAGATCTATCTGTCGCCACACATAAGAACTCTCAATACTGGTTTGTTTATACAGTGAGTCCCACTCCATATTTCCCCATGGAGTGAGGCTCTGTCTCAAAGGTCCAAAACCAAGGGCAGCAGCAGGAAACAAAACAAAACAAAATCCCTAAAAACCTCAAAATGAGCAGGCACAGTGGTACAAACCTATAATCCAACACTGGGAGGAAACGAGAGTATGGAGTTCAAGGCTAGCCAGGGCTACCACAGCATGACCCACCTCAAAAAAGAAAACAAAACGCTCTCAACACAGATGCTTTATTTTATTGAGATTCACAGTTATCCTCCTTCCTCCACTTCCTGAGTGCTAGGATTAAAGGTGTGCACCACCACCCCAGTTTATATTTGCTTTTGTTGATTTATTCATTTTATGTGTGTGGGTGTTTTGCTTGCCCCACATGGGTGCCTGGTGTCTGAGGAAGTCAGAAGAAGGCTTCAGATCCCCTGGAACTGGATACGAGTGGTTGTGAACCACCACGTGGGTGCTGGGAATCAAACTCCAGCCTCTGCAAGAGCAACAAGTGCTCTTAACTGCTGAGGCATCTCTCCAGACCCCCATTTTTATTTTTGAAAGATGATCTCACTATGTAGTCCTGGCCTGTAACTCACAGAGATCCACCTGTCTCTGCCTCTCTAGAGTGCTGGGATTAAAGGTGTGTGCCACCCCTCCTGGTCCTCCACACAGGTTTAAACTCTATGGGAACTGACGGACCAGAGGCCTCCTTTAACCTCTACTTCCTGCTTCTGAATGTCCATCTTGTTTTCTAGTTCCATGATGTGTGTTGACCTGGCCTCAAGTTATCAGGCAAGCAGCTATGGAGTGGTGTGTGTACGGATAACTGGTGACTCATAGGGTCAGGTGCTCTGGAGAACCCCGGGCCCTGGCATGCCCAGGTGGGTGAGGTCCTCAGCCTGAGGCAAGAAGTCAGCTTCTCAGTGGAATGTGCTGGAAGACATGGAGGGTTTAGGCTGGTGTTCCCAGCTGGGCTGGGGAAACAGGATACTCTCCTCCTCCTCCTCCTCCTCCTCCTCCTCCTCCTCCTCCTCCTCCTCCTCCTCCTCCAGAAGATGCTGTGACTCCTCTTCCTGGCAGCTCCTTCACTGTACCCAGAGACCTGTCTGTGGTGGTCCAAGGTGAGCAGGGCTGTGGCTCTTTCAGTGTAAAGAGGTTGCTTCAGAGAGGCACTTGTGTGTGAGTGTGAGTATGCACATATACATGTGGAGGTTGAGGGTCACTCCTCAGGTGCCTTTACCTTTTGGTTGAGATAAGGTCTCTTATTGGAACTTTTCCATATGGGTTAGACTAGCCAGCTGCCAGGAATCCACACTCTCTTCCATCTGGCTGATTATAAGTGCCTGCTATGGATCACAGCCAAGCAGACATTTCATGACCCTAAACAAGTCCATAGCTGACCAAGAGCCTTTCAGATGCCTGTTCTGAGCATGTGGCTGCATGCTGAATCTGACTGGACATCTCGCCAGCTCGAGAAAAGGTCCCTAATGTCTCTCATAAGTCCAGTGGCAGAGATGAGTATGACTCAAGGGTACTGAGCTGCCTGGGAACCCACTTTTGCTGAGATGCACACTTCTGAGGAGACCCAGGCTTTGCACAGAGCCTCACTTGCCCCTCTGGCACCAGGCAGTGAGAAGAGGTGGTATCTGCCTTCCGTATGCATGAGGGTAAAGGGCTGTTTGCTGTGGATGAAGCCTCTCCTGCAGTATTTGAATTGCTCTGCCCCACCTGTGAACTGATGCCGCACCAGGGAGATGCCACTGGTTCACTTGGGATGAGCAGAATGAACAGAATTTGCAGGAACACCTGGAAGAATCTGGGCCCTGTAGAATCCCGCTAAGCCCTCTCTGTGCTGTGGGGTAAATGGGCTTGCAACGGAGGCTATTGAGGTTGGACCCAGTACCCAGGCAGCCCTAAAGAGCCAGGTTTAACCATTCGTCCTCAAGCCAAATAAAGGGACAATCAGCTCACTAAGCAAAGGCTTTTGCACGCAAGACTGGTAACCTGAGTTCGATCCTCAGATCTCATGTAAAGGTGAACAGAGAGAACCAACTCCACAAAGTTGTCCTCTGACCTCTACATGCAGTCCATGGACACCCGCACTCTCCACATAATAATTAATAATAACCACCACAACAATGGTAATAACATTAAAATAGACTAATAGTGCACACCTTTAATGCCAGCACTTGGGAGGCAGAGGCAGGTGGATCTCTTGTGAGTTCAAGGCCAGCCTGGTCTACAAAGTGAGTTCCAGGACAGCCAGGACTACACAGAGAAACCTTGTCTCAGACAGAGAGAAAGAGAGAGAGAGAGAGAGAGAGAGAGAGAGAGAGAGAGAGAGAGAGAGAGAGAGAGAGAGAAGAGGAGAGGAGAGAGAGAGATGAGCACGGCAGTGTGGACACACTGGGAGAAGCAAAGCAAACCAGTGACTTGCAGTAGTCCATCTTCCAGGTCATAACATGAGGGGAGACAAGAGGTGTGTGAACTGCCAGGCGGTGGTGGCGCACACCTTTAATCCCAGCACTCGGGAGGCAGAGCCAGGCGGATCTCTGTGAGTTCAAGGCCAGTCTGGTCTGCAGAGCGAGATCCAGGACAGGGACCTAGGTGTGGGCCCACCCCACCATAGTCTCAGCTCCTGTCTCTCCAGTAAGGTGGTCTGGTGTTGTCAGAACTGTGTGGAATCGTCTGGCTGGCACCAGGCTTCAGCCCTTTCTGCCTTCCAGGCTCAGCATGAGATGACTGGGGAAATTCTAATTCACTGGGTCCATTGTTCAATAGCTGGAGAGCCAAGGGGTGTCTGTTCACAATTTCTGCCCTGGGAGGTAAAGTCTCAGGCAGTTTTGCCCAAGCATACACTTACAACTTGTACGCCATCCCGATTCCGATTATTTTTAACCTTTTGCATATTGACTTTCCAGAGCATGTCAGATGGTTTGAATTGGTGCAGAGAACAGCTGGCCCGGCCTATGGCCTTCTTTCCCCAAGCCTTAATTCCAGTGCGGGCAGCCGACATGTGTGGCATTCTCTGCCTGCACATCTCTGGGCTGGGCCTGCCTCTCTAAGAGCTGCCTGGGCATGTGATATCTGAGAGAAGGCAGCCACCTACCGAGGCTTCCCAGTGAGTAATTAGTTTCACTTGGGGTTTTCAGAGCCCGGGCAAAGCCTCGAGCATTGAAAGCAGCTCCAATAAAGCATGAATAATAATTTTAGGAGCGTGAGAAAGGTGCTGGGGGACACACCCCACGCACAGGGCAGCTTGTTGTGGAACATCCACTAGGGGGCAGCAAGGAGCAGAGGCCTGTGGATTGTCACAGGACCTGGCGGCAGGTTTGGCGGCATAGGAATGAGGAGGGTGAAGGGAGAGGACGACAAGCTGAGTGTGTGCCTGCTGAGGTTTCTGCTGTAGGCGGTTTGCCCAGAACTCTATCTCCTTGAGTTCTTTTTAAAAAAATAATTTATTTATTTCTATTTTATGCGCACTGGTGTAGCCCAGACTGGCCTGGAACTCACAGAGATTCCCTTGCCTCTGCCTCCTGAGTGTTGGGATTAAAGGCTTACATCACCATGCCTGGTGGTTTTATTTTTTAATTGTGTGTGTGTGTGTGTGTGTGTGTGTGTGTGTGTGTGTGTGTGTGTGTATGAGAGAGAGAGAGAGAGAGAGAGAGAGAGAGAGAGAGAGAGAGAGAGAGAGAATGGGCATGTAAGTGCAGATGCCCACAAGAGTCAGAAGAGGGCATCAGAGCCCCCTGGTGTGAGCTGCCCCAGGTAGGCTGGGAACAAATACAAGTCTCCCCAAAGGGGCTGTTAGCTGCCTAGATGTGCCCCCATCCCCTAGAGATTAAACAAACCCAGCCAACCAACTAACCAGCCAACGGAAAAAACAAACTGCAGAATGCTATAGATTCTCAGCGGTGAATGGTCACTACGAGTGATAACATTACTAAGAGGGCAAATAAAAATTATAAATGTGTAGGTGCTGAGTAGGTGCTGAGTAGGTACTGAGTAGGTGCTGAGTAGGTGCTGAGTAGGTGCTGAGTAGGTACTGAGTAGGTATTGAGTAGGTGCTGAGTAGGTGCTGAGTAGGTGCTGAGTAGGTACTGAGTAGGTATTGAGTAGGTACTGAGTAGGTGCTGAGTAGGTACTGAGTAGGTACTGAGTAGGTGCTGAGTAGGTACTGAGTAGGTGCTGAGTAGGTGCTGAGTAGGTGCTGAGTAGGTGCTGAGTAGGTACTGAGTAGGTATTGAGTAGGTACTGAGTAGGTGCTGAGTAGGTGCTGAGTAGGTACTGAGTAGGTACTGAGTAGGTATTGAGTAGGTGCTGAGTAGGTGCTGAGTAGGTACTGAGTAGGTATTGAGTAGGTATTGAGTAGGTGCTCAGTAGGTGCTCAGTACTTGGGCTTCAAAATGCAAGGTGCAGCCGGGCGGTGGTGGCGCACGCCTTTAATCCCAGCACTCGGGAGGCAGAGCCAGGCGGATCTCTGTGAGTTCGAGGCCAGCCTGGGCTACCAAGTGAGTTCCAGGAAAGGCGCAAAGCTACACAG